CTTGTCCTCCAAGCCCCTCAATTGCTTCGGTAATTATGCAAGGACACTTGATGAGCTGTCTTCCATAAATTATTCTGCAACTGATACAAGAAAAATGTGAGGACTGCTCTGTAAAATGTGAGTTAGTTTTAGGAACCAATACCAAAACGTTTTCTGGAAATAACACTATGACATGATTTATGATTCTGAGGTTGAACTGAAACTATGATTTTGACCTTAGAACTCAGGTCAGATAAGTTGGAAGTTGTTACAGTTTCCATCTACAAGCAACTGCATAGAAATCATCCTTCCTCGCGAATTACCTGAGGATTGAGAATTATCAAATTTATTGCATTTACATTGAGGATTCAAAGCGGTCTTTTGCGTGTAATAGTCAAACGTTACAACTGTCAACTTGTCGGACGCGAGTTCTGGCAAATCTTCTGTCCTTCTAAAAAGGTCTGTTCTACTAATTCATAACAGGGAAAGTATGATGCGTTCATCTAAGCAAAGGATGAGATTTTGCAACCCAACAAGTATTTATTTTAAAATTACAAATTCTTTAAAGAACAAACTTATTGGTAACACAAAAATAACAAAACTTAAATTTGATTCAAAATAAAATAGAGTTTGTAGATAGATACAGCATAATGTACACTGATAATGCACAGGATTATTTTCTGTTTTACAACTAATTGTACATTGTTAAAATGTTGCCGTAACGTACAACTTGCAAAAGTGTAGCCCTTCATTGAGAGGACTTACAGATAGAAATCAAAAGATGTTATGCCTCCAAATAATTGCTTCAGCCTAGATTTGATTTGCTTACGGAGAAAAGGTATAGTAACATTTTAATGAGTGCCAAAACCGAGGTGTATTTTTTCAGAACTACATCCCTAGAAGCAGAGTTTAATTTTTACTTTTTAAAGGAATTGTAAAAAAAAGATAAAAGGTTTTATAAATACCGATTTATATAACAACTGCATAAAGATTTAATGACGAAAATAGTAGATTTTTTTTAAAAGTACCCATTTTTAAATATCTCATTTTATGATGGAAAATATAGCTGTTAATATAAACAGTACATAAGTGATATTTAAATGTTCCTGGTTTCTGCCATAAAAGAACTTTCCCAAAAAATTTAGAAAAATGGATCTCCAATATAGAATAATGTAATAAATGAGAAAAAAGGAACAAAAGTATTTCTGAGTCCTATATTAGTTATACATGGCTTGGAAAAAGATAACTAAAAATTGGTACTTTTAACAAAATTATACAATTTTTTGTTACATAACCATTGTACTTCTGTTACTTAAAACACTTTTGATTTAATAGTCATGCATCATTGATCTGTTGAATGCATAATTTTTATTCATTTTTCACTTTTCTTTTCTCTGCTTTCACATCTCTGCTACTAGCTGCAAGTCATACATTCAAGCACTGATAAAAATTCTTAATATTTTTTTACGTCTGATATTTTTGTTTCTATAATCTATGACAAGATAACTATTTCAACAGAGAAATCACAAAATAAGTCGTAAATTTCAAAAATAACAGCAACGAACAACTCCACATATTAACGATTAAAAATTGGATATATTACAGGTTAAATATTGGAGCTTGAAAGCTCTATAAATGCTTTATGTAGTTTAATAACAGCAAAGTTCAAAAATAATTCTTTTACTATATTCAAGAAGCAAGTAAAATAAATTAATTCCTAACTGAGGCAAAACTCACTGAGAAAGGTTTTAAAGCAACAGTTTTTACCATCTTGTTTTAATGATTTGATGGATGAATTAAAAACAAATTAAAGAAAATATGGCAACATGGAATAAAAAGAGACATGTTGAGATAAAATGCTGTAAATCATGATAAAGCCACCACAATCCATTTAACTTGTCAGGAGATTACTGATTCATATAATTCTGCATAGATGTCATAGCAGGTGTAAGAAAATTTATCTAAATTTGTTAAATTGTTGCAATCTAAGATACAGAAAAGAATGTTCTAAGATATAAAATTAAGAGAGAGGGATTGAATCCTCTCTCATGAAGGTATTGAATTACACGTAAGATGAGGAGAATAGACGGTAATCATGCATAAAAATGATTTCAGAATATTTTTAAGTTGAATTGTCTTTTTTCCGTGGCGATTTCTGAACATCAACATTACATCAGTAGGGCTCTTTCTTGGAAACCTTTAGACTTCTCCTGTTTGATGAGAATGCGCTTTGCGTACTAAGAAATCGCATGTTGCTTAGGAATATTTATTCACATACTTGGGGAATACTTTGGAGGGAAAAAAACTGTCTTTCATTAGATTTGAGTATTTTTTAGAAAAAAATAAAGATTTAAAGATTGGTTGCATTACAAAGGCACAAGACACAGAAACCTACAATAGGAAACCTACATTAGTATTCCCAAGGACCGAGTGTTTGAATACCACCGTTAACCTTCCCCCAGAGATTTTAATCAAAAATTATTTCTTTAGACTAACGAGAGCATTTAAAATTTTTCTTAAAACATGATAAAGAAAGTCCAGCTACAAAATATTTCAAGAACTCCAATCATATTGCCAACAAGCTAACTGAAAGATGCATTTTTGTGCACTTTGGATGGATACAGATAATGGGCATAATTAATTTCACAATTGTTATGTCTGTGAAGATTGTAGCTTACAATAATGGCCTCTGCTCAATAGTTCTGGCTTAAAGTACGATACCTAGTTAAATAAGATTCTGACAGTAGTGTAGAACTACAAACGTTCTTTTTTTTTTCTTAAAAAAAAAAAAGAGATGGATGTTCAAAGAGAGCAAAGTGTATACCCTCAAATAAAAACTGATTAAGTACTTGGAATAAAAATTTTTCATTTCAATTACTTTTCAATAAAATCTTAAAAACACAGATGTTATCACTTGATGATTATGAGCAATTCACTGACGTCAATACTGAATAGGTTTATAAAAAAACAAAAACTTGAAAATGCATATTAGATTGCCTTTTGCCCTCTTCTAAAAAATGAGTTTTTCAGATTTAATCATCATTAGACACAAACTGCTAGGGCGCGGCAAAATTAAACATCAAGTGTCTTTTTTCTTGCAAATCCTCTTACTGATTATTTCAAATAGTGAGTTTGTATGCTTCTTATATCTTCATTTTCTTCCACAATGGGCCTGTTGCAAACTTTTGCTAGAGCAAAACTAAGAGTTGTTTCTTATAGATAATGCCTCAAAAATCACGATGAGCGCATCGGCAAACTCTGAAATGCACTCATAACTTCACAATCTGCGTAAGAAATTTGCGGTTTTTTGAGCTTCCCTCTTCAAAAACGATACTACGGCACAGGTGAACATTTTGTAAGAGGAGTCGTTCCATCGTCGGCAATAATCATCATAGCCGACGCCAATCCGCCAAAACACGTTTGATGGGACGAGATAACACCTGAACTGGATTAGACCAGATAACAATCGGTGTGTTAACGTTCATATTTTCCACGCCCGAATGGATTGACCTTGAACTCTCCTTGAATTACGCGCGGAACTGCGTGCAAGCGTCGGCCATGATGAATATCGCCGACGATGGAGCGACTCCTCTAACAAAATGTTCACCTACGCCGTAGTATCGTTTTTGAAGCGGGAAGCTTAAAAAAACGCAAATTTCTTACGCAGATTGTGAAGTTATGAGTGCATTTCAGACTTTGCCGATGCACTCATCGTGATTTTTGAGGCATTATCTACAAGAAACAACTCTTATTTTTGCTCTAGCAAAAGTTTGCAACAGGCCCATTAGCGAGATGCTGAACTGATTTCAAACTGATTTATTAGAGAACTCGGGGGAAATACAGGACATCCTTGGGACGTACATGGGGCATATTACAGGGTTGAGGTCTCAAGAGAAAAATCACAACTAGCCAAATATTATTATTACATCAAGCATTTTCCTACTAACGTAAAGGTAATAACTAATCAAGAAATAATTTTTAAAAACCTATTGTTGGGTTGAAAAAAAATAATACATAAATTAAAATTATAAAAGAGAAAATAGTTGATTTTGAGGAGTAAAACTTACATTGAGGTCAAAACAGACACTGCATAATTTCTCGAATAAATTTTTTCATACTCTGATAAAACTATATCGACAGTTAATGAGGGTTCCGGAAAAAGGGCCCATAAAATAAGGGCGAGTTCAATTCTCCAATATGTCTTGTCTGGATAAGCAGGAGGCGATAACCTTAGCAGCATTTGTCCAAACATCTCCACAACTGCACTACATTAAGTGCCCTTCTTCTGAAACCCTCCTTAATTTTATACTCGGTTATGGACCATTAGAGGTGAAGGACAAATCTTTGTATAATCAACAAAGTTCCGTAAAAGGAAAAGAAAATACATTTCCATCCATTTTAAAAGCAAGAGGTAAGCATAAAAATGGACAAGAATTTATAATGTACAACCGGAACGGATAATATCAGTTACCTAAAATAATTTTAAAATTGATATGTCTAAAATGTTACTTAGAATGCAATTTGCTTATTGCTCAAATTCAATTTAAGACCACATGCTGAACAAATTTTGATACCTACATGTGACTCAGCGGCACACAAATGGGGGTAAAGATAAAAACAAAAGATAAAAATTAAAACCATAAAAAGGCCATGAGACTCATGAACCTGACAAAACTTAGGATAGGAGCCTAACGGTACAGCTTACATTACATGCTTTCATGTACACATGGCAAGAAAAATTAAAAGGTATTTACACTTTCGAATTTACAATTTAAAAACTAAATTTCCTCACAAACAGTGTGAAAACTGCTGTCTATCACAAGAATATTCTCAGTGCTTAAAAGTAAGCGGCCACTGACAAAGAGCCATTTCCCCCTATAGCCATTTTGCTGCGTTTTATTGGGGCCAGCCAGTGACCAAGAGAGATATGGCAACAATTAATTACGACTCTTTCACTAAGCCTAAAAAATGCCATTATTTCTCAAGAAAACACCCGTAACTCCTGAATAAAATGTCTCTTCCGGATAAGATAAAATATTTTTAAAAAGGCAGGGATTAGGTTTTAACACATCTAATTTTGAATATTTTTTGAAAAGGACAAAAAGTGCTCGTAAACTGGACCAAATACATTATTCCTAATCTTTAAAATGTGCTGATGCAAGCTGGCAGCTTTTCCAAAGACCGTTCACACATACCCTCTCTCAACATCTAGATACGTACCATCTTCAGTCACTTTTTTGGTTATTCTAATACCTCCTCTATTCATCAATATTTTTTCCCCAGATTAAACTTGGGACAAAATATGCTCCAATAAGTATGTTTTATTGATAAATCCAAACTCAGTCAAATCAAGAGGAGGAGGATCAGATGGTCGATTTTTATCCAAGGTAATGAGAGAGATTGTTGAAAAATAGCTTGAAATAGTACAGAATTCGAGATTTTCAGATTCGAGAGAAACAAAATTTGCAGAGTTCATTTTTTCAATGCAGTTTTGGTCAACAGAATAGCGAGACAGTAATTAAAAACCTAGGGTCTTGGCACGCTAAGATATTTCCTTCTCACACTGAAGCTGATCACAAAACAACTTAGATTAAAAGAGCAAAAAATTCATGCATCTTGCTTTGGGAAAATTTCATCAAAGTTTCTTTTTTATCATTTTTTTTAAAAAAAAATACCAGTACCAGTTCTGATTTTTGATGGCAGATTAAAATTAAGGTTAAAAAAAAAATAAAAACACAAATATTGAAAGATTGACAGAATTTTGAAGGTAAGATTTGTTTTTCACAAGTACAGTAAAACATCTCATCTGCCCTTTAAAATCCTTGATTTTGGAAATAATTAACTTAATTTAAACTTAAAGAAAAACTGAGACTGGAGACTGCACTTTTTGGCATAAATCAAGATTACAATAGTACTGATAAGATATACACAATTAAAACAGTAATATCACTTAGAATTTCGATTATGATTTGTTACGATTGATAATTAAAAATTAAAGCCTCTAGCTTCATTAAAATTTAAGAGTGGTAATGAGCCCTTGAATCAAACGTTCATCCGTCTATAGGTACATTTTTTATGAGTTTTTTCCTATTTTTTTAGATCATCACATAAACCTGTAAAGAAGGGCCAAAAGATCGTAACTGACTTCTCTGAGGTGGAGGCACTCTCTTTTTTTGATATGCAAGGCAGAGGTCCTTAAGAGGTCTAATATCAAGACAAAAATTTTCCAATCGATTTTTCTCCTATATATTGGTGAAAGAATCGTTAAAATCTTCTGGCTATACACTACAGATGCGAATTTGCAAAGGAGTTGAACTTTTTGTTCACAAAACACTAGTTTCAACAGAGTAACTTAAATTTTTATTTTCATCGAAAAACTCCGCATAGAGTATATTGGCAGAATCATCTTGCTTGAGTTAGGATTTTGGGTGGAAAATTAATGGAAATCCTTTTCGAACTTTGGCTGTGAATTCTTTGTGATTTGTATACGAGGAAAAATTGAAAATGAAATAGAGCTGTAATAAACTTTGAATGAGGTACCGAGGGCAGTAATATTATCTTTACTTTTACATTGACGGACAAGATATTAGTAAGTCATTCAAAATATGAAAAGAGAGCTAAAGAGAGGTTAAAAGTTTGAAATTTACCTATCTTATTGATAGATAAATTAGCGGTGAGAGAGATGAACATGTTGATTGGAAGACCCTAATGAACATAGAAAACCGTTCATCAAAGGTTTGGGTCATTTGGAATTTTTAAAAATAAAATTAAAGTGAGAGAAAGAAGCAAAATATGTAACTTTCTATCAAGAAAACCTAGCCAGCAAGGCAAAGTTTTCCGGTAAAAAAAAGATTAGGTACTGCTCTCAGATTCAAACATTTTCTCATAGTCTGAGAGTAAAGTACAATCTCTTGATAGATATGTTGTAGTCGATGTTAAGAACATAACAGAATGTACACAGATTTTCTTTAAACAAGTGGCAGCTCTTGGATTTTAATGAGCTGAAAATTTGTGACTTGGCGGACGTTTATAGCGGAAATGTGAAATTTGAAAAATGCATGTCTGGACAGGTTGGTTGACATTTTAAATTAATGAATTAATTAGATGATGAGGTAAACAATTGGCACTCAGGACGAAAATTTTAGACTACATTTCCCCTTCAATTAAGTGATGACCCGGTAAGGTTAAATAGACATGGAAGAATAAACAAAATCAGGGGGTGTGCTGGTGGAAATGGCTTCCTAAGTTCTTACTTATAGGGAAAAAAAGAATAACATTCTAGAAGATGGTGAGTCAACGTACATCAAAATGTTTGAAAACACTGCTAAAGGATTGCACAGCACAATATTTTAATTATGGGGATAAATGAGTGGATGTCAGTAAATTACAGGATTTGATGATGTTATAACTTTAAACATCTATCAGTCCTAAGGTTACTTCATGATGTCCACTTTTGTGAATATTTTCCAAACTTAACTTTTAATTCATGGGAAGAAAAGAGTGAATGGAAAATATGGGTCAAAATTCAATGGTGGTCAATTTTGAAGTTCAAACTGAAGAGTTGAACTGAATTTAACAAATTTTTTTCTATGACAAGAGTGGCCTCATGAATTTCTTCAAATGCAAAAAAACTGAAGAAATAAGTACGCATATTACTTACAATTCTGTTTTACAAGATGAAAGTTGGAGGAAATTCATAAATGGGTTCACTTTTTCAATAGGGTAGTCCAAGTCCATGTGTATCGGGAAAAACTTTATTCCGAACAGAAACGACTGGGACTATGAGATACTTCCACTTCTATTTGTAACTACCGATAACACAGGATTTTAGTTAGCTGCATTCATCACAGAGAATGAATACCTACACTATTGTAGTAGTTTCTTTCCAGAAGAATCAAAACTATGAGGTGCGAAGACGAAACTGAAAATACATAATTGACTCAAGGAGAATGTCTAGACCCCACTACTTAAGGCTACAATAATTTTACGGAGCTCGCATTTTTGTAGGACAGACCTAGCCCGTGATCAGTCGGCCCTACCGTAGCGAAAGCTAGGAATACTGTTCCTATACCAATAGACTTGGCCTAGAATCGTCAGGTCGATTATCACTTGAAGGGCGCCGCAGAGCCAGAATTGAAGGGGTGCTTCCCGGACAATGAAATAGACCGTTTTGAACGCGTCTCCGGCAGTCCACATGAGCACCATGTACACACTGCAAAAATAGAAATACAAATTAATCAAAAATGTTAATTTTGGAGATGGGCTCCTCAGATATAATATTACTCTATTTTTATGTTGCCGAGTTGGAGAAAAACGCTGTGTGGGCATTCAAGAGGTGCCAAATTTTTCCTACTAAAATCATTAATATTGAAGATAGTTATGAGTAATTTTTCTGCAAATTTTCAGGTGCGCTATAGTATCAATGAATACAATTTCCTGAAAAATTGAGAGAAAAATATAAATCAATTTTCCTGATTGTTTTTCATTCTATCAGAGGCAATTTGGCAGGGCCCGGATGTTCTTGCAGCGTTTTCCCTTAGCGCAGCAGTTTGAGGAGCGATTAAATCGAAACAATAACTTTTTATTACTTGAAGAGCGAGAGGCAAATATTCGGCCTTTAAAACTCCTTCTAAAGCGTTGATATGCAATAAGCACGACTCCACAAGCTGAAATAACCGGGCACGCGGCATGCACTCCGATTCTCTACTTCTAAGAATTCGTCTTTTCCCATACGAAGGAACCAAACTCCATTCCAAGGCAGTAAAATTGACTCAAGTAATTTTTTTTTTTTTTTTTTTAAAAAAAAAAAAACATTTTTTTTGGGTGTGAGTGTCGCAGTAGGTTGTTTTAAATTTTCCAAGGAAACACCCAGATCCGTAGAGACATTTTGCCTAACAACCAAACTGCACAAAAAATTTTGAGGAAAGAGCTTAGTAGAACACTGGTGTGTGTTTAACGATGTGTGTAATACAAAGATAAAAATAAACAGGTGGTAAGGAATAAAACAAAAGAATATGAACTATACAAAACGATAATCCGGATATCGGAACTTGGCTGTTTTCAAAACGCCTTCAAATGCGGCGTGATACCTCACGCATTCCAGAGAGTTCAAATAGTTGTATCATTGCGCCTTAGAAATGCGACGGAAGATTACAATTAAATTAGCCTTCATGCACGCTGGCCTTTTCGATTTCCCTAAACATTTTAGCAGTCGTGAATGCATAGCTAAAATGCGCTACAGCTAGAATTGTATTTACCAAATGAGAAGGTTTTATAAAAGGATTGAAATTAAACAAATGGTAGGAAATAAAACATATTAACACTGGTTAAGATGGGTTCTGTCCTTCGAACCAAACCAATTTTTTTCGATTTCTAGGTGTTGAAGAAGCCCAAAAAATGGCCGTATTAACTTCAGGAAAATTGGCTGGTCCTCAGGGCGCCGCCATTTTGAATTTTTCAAAATTGAGAAAACCCACGATTAGATTTTTGCAAATATCTCCTCAACGGTTCATCTCATGAAAAAAAAACAACAAAAAAAGAAAAAGAAAAAAAAACCCAGCGGAAAGAGCATAAAATTTCCTACCGAAATCATCCTCGTTTGTTTTTTCTAACTTAATTTGCACACTGTGTGCAAACTTATACTGATTTAGGCGTATAATTATAGGAGCAATTAGTGAAATTTTCATTCAGGAAAGCCAAACAGTTGCCAAGTTAAAATACTATTGGCGAGTAGAAAAGTCGCAACGTCGAAATTTAGTTAATATTCTTTTGACCGTAAAGCGATGGATTCTTTCGCTCCGATTTATTTTTCCTTTTCAAAAGTTGGTCGAAAGGGAATAGGTGTATGCTTTCGTGCTAGGGGAAAACGCTGTATGAACCTTCAGGCGCTGCCAAATTTCCTTTGGTAAAACACGAATTTCCTTATAAACTTGTGGATATTTTCCTCCCAATTTTTCAGATAATTTGCTTCACAATGTCACCAGAAGTTCCAAGGACCACCAAAGGAAAAATATTAATAGCGTTGCTCATTTCAAAAATGAAAATTTTATCGGAGGAAATTTGGCAACTCTTGAATGTTCATACGGCGTTCTTCCTCAGCACGGCAGCGGTAGGTGTAGGTACGCTGCCGTGCTAAGGAAGAACGCTGTATGAACAATGAACGTTCGAGAGTTGCCAAATTTCCTTCGATAAAATGTTTATTTTCGAAGAAAATTATAAATATTCTTCCTTGAAATTTTCAGACGGTTTAGTTCTAATTACAAACAAAATTATCTGAGAAATTGGTAGACAAATATTCAAAAAATTTCCTGGAAAAATTAGTGATTTGCCAGGGGAAATTTGGCAACGCCTGAAGGCTCATACGGCGTTCTTCCTTAGCACGGCAGCACGGTGCTAAGCACTGTAAAAGGCGGAAAGGATGTCATCAAGGGCTGCCCGGGCTTTTTCTATCGATATCTTTGATTCGATTAATGAAATGAACTCAGAAAGAGCCACGCCCTAGTATTGGTTTCCAATATTGTTCACGTCATCGTCCGTGAACCCGAACGTCAGAGTTTCTTTATTTCTGAAGGGTTGTTTTCCACTTGGAATCGGGCCCGCCTATCATTAAAAAGTGTTGGTTACATTTCGGCCTTGATTAATCGATCTTCTTAAAAAGTAGTTCTTCGTTAATGGTAAAAATTAGACGAACACAGGGTCTCTATTTTTTTTCTTTTTTTTTTTTTTTTTTTTTGAGGTATGAATTTTGAAAGTACCACGGAAAAAAAGAGCGCGGGGTTGTTGGATGATATGGCTACTTCCAATTGGATTGCATTTTGCAATAATGGACCACTATTTTTGACTCACATTAGATAAAATGTTCGGGCGCTGTTTGTTCCCCACGCTTTTAAACAGGAACCAAAATTAATTGTTCCTTGTTGTAAAAATGTCCTTCAATTAACCTACTACCATTAAAGTACTTTACATTTTACGACAAGGAACTACTATTTTTGGCTCATATCAGATAGAATGTACGTGCACTGTTAGGTTCCCTACGCTTTCATAGATAAGCCAGAAATAAGTGTTCTTCATTGCAAAAATGTAGTTCAATTAACCTACTACCTATCTCCCATTTGCAACAAAATACAATCAGGCGCTACAAGACCTATGTCGATACACCCAATGAAAGGAGAGGCGCTCGTAGCGACAGGGCTATTTAAGAAGCTGAAAGAGAAAATGATCGATCCCCTTTCAAAGGCTGCTCCGAATCCTTTCGCCACTGGTATTATCCAAGCATTAATTGGTGCCTCAGTAACAAGATCCTCTTGGCATGAAGCAGTGATTAAACTGACTGACGAACGAGTAAGACGCGGATTGATACTGATCCGCGGGCAAAATCTAGCCTGATACTCCTTGGAAAGACTTAAATCCGAACTCAGGATGAACTAGTTCCGATGAGAGTTTCGCTCGATCGCAGGAAAACTGTTCTACAGCTCTGCCGTGCTAAGGAAGAACGTCGCATAAACAATCAAGAGTTGATAAATTTCCTTCGATAAAATGTTTATTTTTCAAGAAAGCTATGGATATTTTTCCGTGACATTTTCAGGAAATATAGTTGAAATTGCGAACGAAATTATCTGGAAAATTACAGGAAAAACGTTCACAAATTCTCCCGAAAATTTGTGCTTTATTAAAGGAAATTTGGCAGCGCCTGAAGGCTCATACGGCGTTTTTCCTCGACACGGCAGAGCTAAGGCTCATACTCTCAAAGATGATATATCTCCGCTCTGATAACGCCTCCACAGAGAGAAAATTCGACACACAAGTTTGGTTATTACGGGAAGTAAAACACAAAATGACCTTAGCCTTCGGCTGACAATTTCAAGAGAAAATGCCAGCTGGTTTTTTTTTGAAGAAATACAATAAAAAACGAATGGTAGGTACCAACGTCGCATTCAAAGGTATGCATTTTCCCAGTCTCTCCATTGTTTTCTGCGCTAAGTTCATTGTAAACCGCACCAAAATCTACACAAAATTTGTGTTGGTTAGTGTTTCGTACTTTGTGTTCGACCCCCTGTTCGACTTTAAAAGTCCGTAAAATTTGAAAACAAAATTGCTCCACGCGGTAGAAGAACAGATTCCCCGATTTTTCCTGAAATTTTTCTTTCCCCGATGAATCCCAGTTTTCCCGGCTATTCTCGGTCTTGGACACCATGTCTATACTGAGCAAGAATTGGTGGTTTCTTATTGCAAAATGAAGTAGATTTAACCGCCACTCAATTTTCGAGTTAAGCGATCCGATGGAGTTGGAAGGCAGCCTGGAGCTTCGGGAGCATATCGATTGGAGACGAGTTTAAGTAGTCGAGCGGGGGATAGTAAAAGTACAGAGCAAAACAGACGAGATGTCGAGAGGCTTGGCACGAGAGTTGAACTGTCATCAGTCACGGCCGTAGAGAGCGCTGTGTTTAAGAGCGGGGCCCGTAATGAGACCAAGTGTGAGATGCGAGACTTCCCAGATTTAACACATAGCAGATTGGATCCCACTTTCCCGCTCACAGGTGTTACTCCAAGACCCTGTTTTTCTTTAGGAATAACTTCATTGAGGCACTTGAGGATCCCTTTCTGTCTCAGAAATCATAGGCTAACTATATTACACCTATCTGGATCTGCCACGGAGAAAAAAACCTCGTGCGTGGGACCCGCAGTTTAGGTCATATGGATCTCTGAAGTTTTCAGATTGAGCATCTGAACACTTTAGGTCTAGCTGTCGAGGTTCGGATCACACATCTGAAACTTCAGCTCTCACATCTGAGGTACTTCAGATGTAAGAACCGAAGTTTTTCGGATGTGAGAACCGAAGTTTTTCGGATGTGAGAACCGAAGTTGTTCGGATGTGAAAACCGAAGTACTTCAGATGTAAGAACTGAAGTTTCAGATGTGTGATCCAAACCTCAGCAGCTGGACCTTAAGTGTTCCGATGCTCAATCTGAAAACTTCAGAGATCCATATGACCTAAACTTCGGGTCCCACGCACGAGTTTTTTTCTCCTTGATGGGACTCAGAAATGGTCGCAGGTAAGTAATTAGATCAGGCACATTTTACAAAGTGCCTCGCACTGAAAAAAATAGTTCTGTTCACAGGGCTCCTGTACTTTCTTTATAATAGTTACAGAAGTTTCTGTTATGAGGACCGAATACTCTGTGCCCACGACCGAAGTTATGTTCTCACAACAGAAAAATACTGTGAGTATAACAATAAAACTGCAAGAGCCCTGTGAACAGAGGGTTCTGTCTTCAGCGCCGACTTTTTTTTTCCGTGCAGCCACTAGCTAAATTTGGACCGCGCTAAACAGAAAGGAACCAAGCCAAATCAGCTATTGCCGAAATTAATTGAGCAATTTAATTTTTTACATGAAAACGGTTGGGCGGATTTTCGTGAAAATTTCAGTGAATTGTCTGCATAGTGCGAAGGAAATTCCTCAACATTTTCGAAGGAATCCGCACAAACGGTCTCTTGAGAAAAATTATATTGCCCAGTGTTTGGCAACAGTTGGTGTGGCTTGATTCCTTTCTGTTAAACGCGGTCCATTTGGAAAATTAACAAGTTTATTGCGCTTTTGACGAATGGCTCTCCAATTACGAACGTTTTAAAAGTTCATAAGAATTCATCAAATCTTCGAATTCTTTCCTACCAAATTTTACGCTCAAAATGCTCCTTGTAAGTTTTAACTGTAAACATTTGAAATTTTTCATTTCAAGGCAAGTCACAAAATAAAGGGACGGTGAAGGGCCAGAAATTATTGGAGATACCATTGAATGATGCATATTTTTACCGTAAATTATTCCTTACAAAAGCAAAAATTTATTTCACTCTGTTGATACTAGCCAACCGCCGTTTCAAGCTAATTTGCTCGAAACGGCCTTGGCGTAATATCAACAATCGAGTATAACAAAATCGGCGAGAAAAAGTGCTACAGATCAACCTGAACAATTTATTTGGTCCTAAATCCTAAGTCCTAAATCATTCAAAACACGAAACTCTTTTTCTTCCTGAGAGCAAACTGTCTGCTGGAACATTTGCGTGTACGTGCAGTGGAATCAGCGTCTTGAGTTAGGTTTAGATCGTATTGGCAACTAAACTAACTCCGTTACAAAGCGTTTGGTATCACGGAGAAACGAAGGCGCTCCAAGCTGGCATGGTGCGTTTCTTTTAAGTCCCTGTTATAAATGAAACCCTCATTATTCTGATGTGAATCAATGCAATTCACGGAGATAATTGCAAATTACCGGCAATATATAATTGCTTGCGGCAAGTATACAGTCTTTGATCAAAGAATAATTAAATCAGTGAGAACGAAAACACACCAACTCCGTTACTCGAAAATGCTCAATTTTCATTAAAGGCAGTCCATTTTCCTAAAGGTAATGGAAGTTAGCGCATCTGTTCCAGCTTGCACTTTTAAAGTGTCCTTAATTACTTGCTCTTCGGCACCGAAAATCTTTTTCTCAGACTAACTTCTTCACCTGATGAGCAGTTTTGTGTGTTCTGATTATTTCCATTTTTTTGCGTTGGTGTGTTTTCGTTCTCACTGATTCAATTTGAAAAAAACTTTGAAAATACATCTCGGATTAAAGATGTAAACTATGTTCTAAGTTCTAGTGCTAGTTCTACAAAATGGACGTTGTGCTTTTCAGAGGCAGGTGCACCTCCAAGAAACAGACGATTTTCCCGACGAAAACGCGGTGAACAGTGTGTAAATCGAAGTACAATCCTCACCTCATGCCCTCCGTAGATCGCTGACGGAGATTTTTGACTAGCTGAGGAACACCGAGACACGCCTCGGTGAATACTGCTAAAAAGCCAAGGACCTCTACGAAAACCGTTGAGTGGATACAGATGAAAGTGATTAGCGAGAAACTTATGTTCATAACTAACAGGAAGTCCACGTAGGATTGAAAGTCCGTCCATTGCCAAAAATACTTAAGATCGAAATCTGAAACAGAAAGAAGGACGAGATTTTGAGATGAAATGCACGAAGTTTCTTCTCCTTTCTAATTCCTCAAACGGATTACGTTCATACAAATTAAAATGAACGATGGACCAGAGAGACGATTCAATACAGGAAGGGCGTTGGGGGAGATGGAGGAGTTAATTTGTCTTGAAAAAACTCAGTTGCAGGAACGAACCCTTTTTTTTGATCCGCTTAAGAGCTCGGGTCGAAAGCTTACCGCTCGGACCATAGACAAGATACAAAAATACATAAAAAAGAGATGGAGAAAGAAAGAGAAAAAAATATTGACGCAAGAGATTTTTTCAGTTGACTTTAACCCTTTTTTAACTTACCTACCAAACATTTGTAATGGTAATCTCCTGAGCCGCCCGCCAATGAAAAACTGGCTCAGAACTTTTTAACTATCACTTGGACAAAAAGCTGAATGAGCTTTTAAGAATACGACAGACGTTGCCTAATTTTTTCTTATATTTTCATTTTTTACCTGAAACCAAGGTAAAATTCTGACTCGAAATTTGTAAGTATATTTCCCATAATCTAAGAAAGATTCGGAGAAAGTTTCAAGGTGTTATGCTGATTATTATTTCGTTAAAAAAGTGAAACATGAGAGGAAGTTAGAAAACGAGAAATGTAATTAGGTTGATTCTTGTTAAAACTATTAAATCGTGACAAAAAGAGGCATCGAAAAATGGTGAAATCTGAGATATTGTGCCTCAACTTGCAAAGCTTTAAATTTTTCATCATACTTTATTTCGAAATGAATCGTGAGTCACGTTACGTCGCTTGCAAATTTTTCACAAAATAAAAAAATCGTCTGTAGAGTTCTGCATCATAAAATCAAGTCATTAATAAATACAAAATAGAACTCATCGAATAGAACTCGAAATTTTGGAGTACCGCAAAATTTTGAAGTAAGATATGAATTATTTTCTGAATTCTTTCATTTTATTCTTCTAGAGAAGAATATAAAACTCCAGAATGACAGGCTAAAGAGTACTTCAAAGCTACACGATTCGCAAGTTCGAGAAAATATAATGCAACACTATTTTGATGGCCAGTCAAAACAGTGGCGAGGCGTGAATGGTCGATTATCGATATTTCCCCTTTTGAAGCTGTGGTAAAGAATCGATCTTTGAGGCTTTCGCTCTAAACACCCTGTTAATCGATCTTTTGCCATTGGTTTAAATGACAGATCCATCGATTTATCGCAAAGCACGCCACGCCTCTGCATCAAAAGTTTCGGCGGTGTGGATTGTTGACGCTACGATGTTCGCTAAAGTGTGCGTAATTTTCCATAAAACGATGACTCATACGTGCAAATAATTTAACAGATCCAGTCGTTTGAATAGCAGTGGATCATCGGCTATCGATGAATAAATACTATCCCATTTGACGATTGGGAAAATAATCGATTATTAAGGTGCTCGTTGTAACATCCGCGCAATCAATCCTTTTCTACAGGTTAAAATGGCAAATACATCGATCCATCGCGAGGCCGATGTCGCGTGGGCAGTGAAGAGAGGCTGACGAACACACGGAGGCAAACAAATTTCGGCGCCTCAAAAGCCACGGAGTGGGTGCAATTCTAACGACCCACACATGCTAAGACCGCTAATAAACAGATGCACTCGTATAGATCGGTACTTGCGGGGAAGTTAAAACCATAATTTTGCGGTTGAAATGTGCCGACTGAAGCTTGAATAATGAAGCTGTTGCAAGATGAGAGTTGGAAACGGGACTGACGTCATGCAGCCCTGCGACCCCCCCCCCCCCCCCCCNCCCATAGAGTGAAATGTGGTTCAACGACGTGCGAAATGCACAAATGACGTCAAAGTTGCACCGGCGAATCTGAAACGGATTACCGTAAAGCTGCGGTGACGAATAAAACACACTCGCGTTAAAATAATTTACCCGGCGGCCACCGCCACGGCGCCCGCGGGATCCGGCGCAAAGAGCTTTCCTGCTTCCACGATCCATTTGAAAACAAAGGTTCCGGACTTTTTTTTTCATTTTTGAAGAGATTTTAGTTTTGAGGTTAGGTCACGCTGCGGCCAGACAGAGACCCGTGACCCCAATACTGCCGTGCTAAGGAAAAACGCCGTATGAGCCACCAGGCGTTGCCAAATTTCCTTCGAAAAAAACGGATATTTAGGAAAATCCGTGAATATTTCTCTACTGATTTTTCGGAGAATTTTGTTCGAAATTCGGACTGCATTTTGTAATTTGGACCTATAAATTCTGGCTCATCTGAATAAACACTTCTGTGCATAGGGAAACTATTGGCACATACGTTGTTTTTAAACCGGGCCGGAACTTAAAGCTCCTAATTGCAAAATGTAGTCCATTTGATCTAAAAGGTCTGCAAATTTCAAGGAAAAGTATTCATAACTTTCTTCAAAAACAGCTATTTTCTGAGAGGAAATTTGGCAACATTCGAATGCTCGTTCGGCGTTTTTCCTTAGCATGGCAGAATGCGTTATACTACCTTATACTGCCATGCGAAGGAAAAATGCCGTACAGACATTCGAAAGTTGCCAAATTTCCTCTCAGAAAATATTAATTTTCAAAGGGAGTTATGAATTTTATAGCCTGAAATTTTCCGACACTTTAGATCAAATTACGAGCAGAATCCTCTGGAAAATGGGAATAAAAAAATTTACAAATATCCCCGAAAATTTGTGTTTTGTCACGAAAAATTTAGCAACGTCTGAGGGCTCATAAGGCGTTGTTCCTTAGCATGACAGTACAGCTTAGCGCATTAATTTGCAAAGCTTTTAGCATGCGGGAGCAATACAGGGATTTCCTGTTGAGTCGAGTTTATATCAATATATCATCCATCATTCATCATGAATATTTATCTGGATTCGAACTCCAATAAAACCAAAGTCTCTTCACCCGCCGTTGATGAATGTGACACGATTAAGGGTTCGGTTGCGCCTCTAAAATCACGTTCCTGCTCCTGGCATTTCCATTTCACGGCATTTAAAGTAGATGAAAACTAGAAAAAAAGGATTTTGATGTGCTGTTTTGTTAACTTCAAGTCAAACGCAGGCTGCTGCATGGAGGTAATGATTTTTACTGCACTCAGAATTTGATCACTGTGTCATACCATACCGAGGAAAACGTAAATGACTCGACGGAACGGGGTCTTTTTTAAAAGGTTGAATAAAAAGAAGAGCGTGTAGACAACTTTCCATTACGGCTCGTTAGGCGATATCAAATCTGCGTAGTTTCGCACTTTGGCCACCGATATACATACCGTCACCTCCCGGCCAAAGTATCATAAGCGCCATGCGAAGTTTCAAAATTTCCGCCAGCATTTTTTTTTCTACAGGGAGATTGTTCAACGAAGCTGTCGGAAAAATTCACTGAATTTTTTTGGGGCTGATGAATTTCAGTGAAATTTTCAAAAAGTTTCAACCGACAATAGCTCCGTAAAAAATGAAATAGCGACGGAAATTTTTAAACGTGTTATGGCGCTTGCGATACTTTGGCCGGGAGGTAACGATATATTAAAAAATTAAACAAGGCTGCCACAGAATTTAGAATATGAAATTCTCTGACATTTCCCTAATTTTGCTGCCACATTTTGGTAAAATTCCCTGACAACAGAATATATACTAGATGGTAAAGGAGACAAAATTTGAAATTGTTTACACCCTAAAGTTGGAATTATTACAATGGGAATACATATTTTCCATTTAATCATAGGTAAAAACTTAAGCAGAAAGAATATGATATCACGCAGTCCTACAGCATTCCAACAGTCTTGTACGCGCGATTATGCGTTTCACGCCAACTGACCGACTGCACTGCGTTTGGCGCAATGCGAGAGGTATCCATGCAGTCTTGTAGGCGCTAATATAGGCCTTACGCCGACCGCACTGTTTGGTGCAATGCGTGAAGTATTCCTGCAGTCTTTCAGGCGCTAATCTACGTTAAATGCCGGCCGCACTGGGTTTGGCGCGATTGTTGCATGATGGAGTTAATGATTTTTACTGCACTCAGAATTTGATCATAGCGTCATATCATGCTGAAGAAAACGTAAATGACTCGACGGAACAGTGTTGGGTCTTTTTTAAAAGGTCGAATAAAAAAAAAGAGCGTGTGGACAACTTTGCATTACGGCTCGTTAGGCGATACCAAATCCGCGTAGTTTCGCACTTTGGCCACCGATATACATACCGTCACCTTCCAACCAAAGTATCATAAGCGCCATGCGACGATTGAGAATTTCACTGAATTTTGTTTGAGCTGCCGATAAAATTCAGTAAATTTGTCAAACAGATTCAACCAACAATTATTCTGTAAAAAATAAAAATGGCGGCGGACAGTTTTAAACGTCGCATGGCGCTTCTGATACTTCGGCCGGAAGGTGAAAATATCAACCGTATTGAGCGCGACCTTATCGTTCTATGCTTTCCGAGTTATTCGCGATTATTCTGTAAAGTTTTTTGGTGTTTTTAGAGTTTATCCTCTTTCTTTCAAAACATACGGTGAGCATATCATAAAGATTAAATCCTGACTGTTGCAGCCGCGCTACTATCGATGCGATAGAATGGATGTCCGCGACCTAGTGCGGTAGATGTTCCGGTGCACTCGCTTGGCGCCACGAGGAGGTCGATTCAATTTGAGGGTAGTTTTTACAAGACATAAAAAACGGTTGCGACGTGATCCCTTTCTTAAACTTCCCGACTCCCGATCTCAAAGAATAATACAAAGGCGAACGTGCGGGTATAATACTCCAGCTCCATCAGATATGCTGCCGTGCTAATGGAAAACGCCGTATGAGCTTTCAGAAGTTGCCAAATTTCCTTTAATAAAAACCAAATTTACCGAGAAAATTGTAAATATTTGTTTCCCAAATTTTCACGCAATTTTGTGTGCAATTTATTCTAAAACATCTGAAAGTTTCAAGGAAAAATATGCATGAATTTCGTCAAAAATACATGTCTTATCGAGGGGAATTTGGCAACTCTCGA